AGGAATGCCTCTAAACTAAGAAGAATAAATTTCAGTCACTTCTCTATAGTAAAGTACTTCTCAGTAATGTCTTACTTTTTCCTTAATGAATGGCTGAAATTGGTAATTTTCATAAGTGTCAGAAAAGTGAGGAATAACAATCAACATGTAAGAAGAAAATCATTATCACAGAGTAGAAAGACAGAGATGCAGGCTTTTCTTTCCTAACCAACCTGTGCCTTTACACTAGAACCATTATACAAGACAGGATCAATATGGTTAAAAAAAAACCCAAACAAAACAAGCAACAACTGAAAAATGTCGAGTAACGTGTATAAACTGTATTATGTAGGGTTTTTTGGTTTGTGTAACGTTTACGACTGTTCACTTAATGTTTCACTAGAAAAAGTGATTTGTTAGTGTAAAGTAGAAAACATTTTCTGCAAAGATCTAAACACTTACTGAGAGTTTTAGATTTTTATTAACAGCCAGAACATACCTAGTAGACACAAATGACCTACTCCTGTCATTACTTATTAACGTAACTTTCACATGTGCAGAACTGGAACCATCAATCACTCAGCTGAAATCAGTGGGACTGCACCATTTGTGCAATGCTGATGACACGCAGAGACACTTGTAGGGCTGGTCCCATAGTTCAAGCTCCCTTTGTGGTTTTAAATTACTGTGACAGTGGAGTCTTACAATTTACAACACTGCTGTACCAAATCCTTTACTTTTTAAAGCTCAACTTCTGTTGCGAACGTTGTCAAGCTCAATATCCTGTAATATTCTGCACTTTCTGTGAGTTAAGCTAATGCTTCCATTTGGAACTTTCTTTAACATTTTATAATATATAAAGAAAATCAAACCTATGTATATGACCTCAACGACTGGATAGATAAAACTGTCCTTGAAGTATCCATGCTCAGAACCAGCTTAGCACAGAGGGTAGAGATGATTCTATAATAATGCAAATGGTTCTTACAACAGGTAGCAAGGCGTATACTTTAGATCCTCAACTGGAACATTAAGGGGTATGTTGTTAACAATCCATGTGCTAACACTGACAGATCACTTTTTTAAATAAAGACTGTCTGCGCGTTAAACTGTGTAAAAGCGTTTTCCTGTTACAAGTCAAACAATTTACTGGACCAGGTTCAAGTTTTATTCTAAATATATAATTTTTTAAGTGTAACTAAAAGCTGTATTTTCCATTAATGTGTTTCTGCGTTGACTAGCTGCCTCCTTTTTAGAATATTACCTGTTTTCTGTAATTGACTTGTTGGATACAATATTTCAATTATTTTAAATGTGAAATTTCCAATTGCCAACACTGTATAATAAAATTAAAAAAAAAAAACAACCCATACTGTTCACTACTTTCTTGACAACTCCCTTGTTTTACAATTCCCAGAAGATCTGGTACAAAGGTTTTGAAGTAGGGGAACTAGCTAAGGGGAAAAGGAAACAGA